ATTTTTTTCCACCCGCTTTTTTAACCCCCAATAGAAAAACAATTTTATTTGTAAAATTTAACTCTTTTCCATTTTTTAAAAATTAATTACTTGTCTTTGATTTTTTATATATCACGTCATCTCCTTTTAAGATGAAAAGGGCCCCATATGCCAAAAATTCACAGATATATTATTTTATAGTTTGGGCTCTTTCTCCTTGGGAACAAGAAATTTTATTTATTTATTTTTTTTGTTCTATTATTCTTTTTTTTTTTTTTTTTTTATTGTATTTTTCTTTTTTTTTTATTGTTTTTTTTTTTTTATTTGTTTTTCATTTTACGGGGAGGCAGCTTATTAAAAATTTTTTTATTTTTCCCCACAACATTTTTTACTAAAGGAGAAAATTTTTAAAAAATTCGTTTTCAAACGATTCGCCCGGAATTGGGGAAAAAATTTTTTTTTTGGGAAAGGGAAAAATTTTTCCGCCCAAATTTTTAATAAAAAGGGTTTCTTGGCTTCAGAGAGCTTTATATTAGTGAGAAGAACACTGAAATTTTTAAATTTTTAAATCCCCTTTGGGAGTCTGCGGGGGAAGAGAAAAAATTTACTGACAGTCAGTATGAAAAAATTGGCAGATGATTTCCGTCGATCTTAGAATCACCGCACACTTCACTCATTGGGCATTCACGGGGCCAAAAACCAGGTGTGGAGCCACAGTTGTGGCGGTGGAGGCAGCAGCAATGGGGGCCTACCAGCACCCTATGACAAAAATGGATAACCACCAGCCGTGTGAGGAGACTCTGAAAGTGGGACATCGGCAGAGATTGTGGCGATGGTGACCAAGCAGCAATGGTGAGGGCGAGTTATACAGGACCATGAGACCACTGCTTGGACCTAGGCTGCAGGCATGGGAGGAGGTACAGGGGCCATGACAGATTAAGGGCCTGGCAGCAGCATGAGAGTCACGTGTATCGGTGGGCCATGGAGATTACGGGCCATGGCAGCTGCAATGGAGGCGGCATACTCTGCCAGGGACCCTCATGGACAAATCTCTGGAACTGGTCACCGCAGTGTGAGGAGACTGTACAGTGGCACATGGAGAGGTGTGGACGAGATGGCATACGACAGCAGCTATGATGGAGGCCGGTAACAGAGGACACCATGACACATCTGGACCCTGGCAAGCAGCATGAGGAGGCGGTACCAGGGGCCCCATGACAGATTACGGCCTGGCAGCAGCAAGTTGGACAGGCGGTACGGAGGCCAGCACCCTATTTCACCGGGGCCTGGCAGCTAGCAACTGTTGTCTCAGCAAATGCATAACTCCCAGCAAGTGTGAGGAGACCTGACGGGCAACATGGCCAGTGAGTGTGGAGTAGAGGTTCGAAGCGTGGCACAGCAATGGGAGGCCCTTAATCTGCCAGCACCCTATGACAAAAAAATGGAACACACCAGCAGTGTGAGGAGACCTGAAAGTGGCACATGGCAGAGTGTGGCGATGGAGACAGCAGCAATGGGAGGCCGTACAGGGACCCATGAGAGACTGTGGACCTGGCAGCAGCATGAGGAGGCGGTACGGTACGGGGGGCCCATGGCAGATTAGGGGCCTGGCAGCAGCTATGGGAGGCCGTAATCTGCCAGCACCTATGACAAAAAATGGAACACACCAGCAGTGTGAGGAGACCTGAAAGTGGCACATGGCAGAGTGTGGCGATGGAGACAGCAGCAATGGGAGGCCGTACAGGGACCCATGAGAGACTTCTGGACCTGGCAGCAGCATGAGGAGGCGGTACAGGGGGCCCATGGCAGATTAGGGCCTGGCAGCAGCTATGGGAGGCCCGTAATCTGCCAGCACCCTATGACAAAAAATGGAACCCACCAGCAGTGTGAGGAGACCTGAAAGTGGCACATGGCAGAGTGTGGCGATGGAGACAGCAGCAATGGGAGGCCGTAACAGGACCCATGAGAGACTCCTGGGACCTGGCAGCAGCATGAGGAGGCGGTACAGGGGGCCCATGGCAGATTACGGGCCTGGCAGCAGCAATGGGAGGCCCGTAATCTGCCAGCACCCTATGACAAAAAAAAAACACACCAGCAGTGTGAGGAGACCTGAAAGTGGCACATGGCAGAGTGTGGCGATGGAGACAGCAGCAATGGGAGGCCGTACAGGGACCCATGAGACACTGTGGACCTGGCAGCAGCATGAGGAGGCGGTACAGGGGCCCATGGCAGATTACGGGGCCTGGCAGCAGCAATGGGAGGCCCGTAATCTGCCAGCACCCTATGACAAAAAATGGAACACACCAGCAGCTGTGAGGAGACCTGAAATGAGCAGTTGGCACATGGCAGAGTGTGGCGATGGAGACAGCAGCAATGGGAGGCCGTACAGGGACCCATGTCAGAGACTCTGGACCTGGGGGACAGCAAAATGGGCCGTACATGGGACCCATGGAACGGTGGAGGCAGCACATGAGGAGGCGGGTGGGGCCCAGGCAGATTACGGGCCTGGCAGCAGCTATGGGAGGCCCAGTAATCTGCCAGCACCCTATGACAAAAAATGGAACCACCAGCAGTGTGAGGAGACCTGAAAGTGGCACATGGCAGAGTGTGGCGATGGAGACAGCAGCAATGGGAGGCCGTACAGGGACCCATGACACTCTGGGACCTGGCAGCAGCATGAGGAGGCGGTACAGGGGCCCATGGCAGATTACGGGGCCTGGCAGCAGCTATGGGAGGCCCGTAATCTGCCAGCACCCTATGACAAAAAATGGAACACACCAGCAGTGTGAGGAGACCTGAAAGTGGCACATGGCAGAGTGTGGCGATGGAGACAGCAGCAATGGGAGGCCGTACAGGGACCCATGAGACACTCTGGACCTGGCAGCAGCATGAGGAGGCGGTACAGGGGCCCATGGCAGATTAGGGGCCTGGCAGCAGCTATGGGAGGCCCGTAATCTGCCAGCACCCTATGACAAAAAATGGAACACACCAGCAGTGTGAGGAGACCTGAAAGTGGCACATGGCAGAGTGTGGCGATGGAGACAGCAGCAATGGGAGGCCTACAGGGACCCATGAGAGACACTCTGGACCTGGGCAGCAGCATGAGGAGGCGGTACAGGGGCCCATGGCAGATTAGGGGGCCTGGCAGCAGCTATGGGGAGGCCCGTAATCTGCCAGCACCCTATGACAAAAAATGTAACACACCAGCAGTGTGTGAGGAGACCTGAAAGTGGCACATGGCAGAGTGTGGCGATGGAGACAGCAGCAATGGGAGGCCGTACAGGGACCCATGAGAGACTCTGGACCTGGCAGCAGCATGAGGAGGCGGTATATAGGGGCCCATGGCAGATTAGGGGCCTGGCAGCAGCTATGGGAGGCCCGTAATCTGCCAGCACCCTATGACAAAAAAATGGAACACACCAGCAGTGTGAGGAGACCTGAAAGTGGCACATGGCAGAGTGTGGCGATGGAGACAGCAGCAATGGGAGGCCGTACAGGGACCCATGACAGAGACTCTGGACCTGGCAGCAGCATGCATGAGGAGGCGGTACAGGGGCCCATGGCAGATTAGGGGCCTGGCAGCAGCAATGGGAGGCCCGTAATCTGCCAGCACCCTATGACAAAAAATGGAACACACCAGCAGTGTGTGAGGAGACCTGAAAGTGGCACATGGCAGAGTGTGGCGATGGAGACAGCAGCAATGGGAGGCCGTACAGGGACCCATGAGAGACTCTGGACCTGGCAGCAGCATGAGGAGGCGGTACAGGGGCCCATGGCAGATTAGGGGCCTGGCAGCAGCTATGGGAGGCCCGTAATCTGCCAGCACCCTATGACAAAAAATGGAACACACCAGCAGTGTGAGGAGACCTGAAAGTGGCACATGGCAGAGTGTGGCGATGGAGACAGCAGCAATGGGAGGCCGTACAGGGGACCCATGAGAGACTCTGGACCTGGCAGCAGCATGAGGAGGCGGTACAGGGGGCCCATGGCAGATTAGGGGCCTGGCAGCAGCTATGGGAGGCCCGTAATCTGCCAGCACCCTATGACAAAAAATGGAACACACCAGCAGTGTGAGGAGACCTGAAAGTGGCACATGGCAGAGTGGCGATGGAGACAGCAGCAATGGGAGGCCGTACAGGGACCCATGAGAGACTCTGGACCTGGCAGCAGCATGAGGAGGCGGTACAGGGGCCCATGGCAGATTAGGGGCCTGGCAGCAGCAATGGGAGGCCCGTAATCTGCCAGCAGCACCCTATGACAAAAAAATGGAACACACCAGCAGTGTGAGGAGACCTGAAAGTGGCAACATGGCAGAGTGTGGCGATGGAGACAGCAGCAATGGGAGGCCGTACAGGGACCCATGAGAGACTCTGGACCTGGCAGCAGCATGAGGAGGCGGTATAGGGGCCCATGGCAGATTAGGGGCCTGGCAGCAGCTATGGGAGGCCCGTAATCTGCCAGCACCCTATGACAAAAAAATGGAACACACCAGCAGTGTGTGGAGAGACCTGAAAGTGGCACATGTTTGGGGCATGATTCATGGCGGATTTAGTCAGTTGTGTCAGGAACTGGTGGTTTGAAATCCAGACTAATCCACGCCTGATTCATTTTCACAAACGTGAGTCTCTCCACACTTTGGGTGGACAGTCGTGTCCTCCGCGGAGTTACAATACCTCCTGCCGCACTAAAACACGCGCTCCGATGCCACGCTACTGGCCGGGCATGACAGCCTTTCAAGGGCAAATTCAGCTAGTTGGGGCCAAAGGTCAAGTTTCGTTGCCCAGTAGTCAAGGGGATTGTCTACCTCGGTTGGCAGGGTGCTGTCCAAAGTAGGCCCAAGCCTGTTGTTTGAGGTCCTGCTCCAGGTCCACCTGATGCTGCTGCTGCTGCTGCTGCGGCTGGTTAGTAGTTTCCTCACTGCGCTGGTGAAGAAAGCTACTCATCATCGACTGCAGACTGAGGCAGCCGCTGCTGGTGGAGCTGCCACTGCTCCTACCACCCCCCCACCCCTCCCCTGCTGCCATGGCAGCGGAACGCGAGCGCGCACAGGGCCCACAGTGTCTGAGGATGGACGTTGGCGCACAAAGGCAGAGACCAACTGACTACATAGGTGGTTTTTATAGTACGTTATTTTGGCCTCCTCTCAGCAGGTGTGAAAAAGGCACCATTTTTGAACGGTAGCGAGGGTCCAACAAGGTGGACAGCCAAAAGTCATCCCTCTGTCTGATGGTTATTATTCGGCTGTCGCTACGCAAGCAACCGAGCATGCTATGGGCCATTTGTGCCAAGGAATGCGAGGGACTCCTGCCTCCATCTCCACAGCATACTGCCACGGTGCGTCTGGGTCCTCTGTCTCCTCCTCCTCCTCCTCTACCAGATGCTCCTGCTCCTCCACTCCTGTCCGCTGAGTGGAAAAAACCACCCATTTCACTCAATAATTCCTGAGCACAAATGTCCTCCTCTACCTCCTCCTCTTTTCTTCTGTCCTGCCCCCACAGGGGTCATGTGGCGTTGAGATCTGTGCGCCACGTCTACCGCACCCTGACCAGCCATTGTTAACAGCATTTGTTCCAGGACGTGCAACAGAGGAATGACGTCGTTCATCCCATAGTCCTGCCGACTCACGAATAGCGTGGCCCTCCTCAAAGGGCCTGAGCAAGCGGCAGGTGTCACGCATGAGCTGCCAATGGCTGACATCGAAGTTACACAGGGGAGTACCTTTATCCGCTTGTAACATCAGGAAATCGGTGATGGCCTTTCGCTGTTCGTAAAGGCGGTCTAACATGTGTAGGGTTGAATTCCACCTTGTTGCAACGTCGCAGATCAGGCGATGCTGTGGAATTCCGTTCTGCCGCTGCAGCTCAAGGAGGGTGTGCTTTGCGGTGTAGGAATGGCTGAAATGCATGCAAAGTTTACGTGACATTTTAAGGATGTCTTGCAGTGGGATGGTGGATTTTAGGAACCGCTTGACAACCAGATTGAACACGTGAGCCATGCATGGCGCATGGCACAACCTTCCTTGACGCAGAGCAGACACCATGTTCTTTCCGTTGTCGGTCAACATGGTTCCGATTTTCAGTTTGCGCGGAGACAGCCATCTGTCGATTTCTCTGTTCATTACACTCAGAAGTTCCTCCCCTGTGTGACTACGTTCGCCAAGGCATACCAGGTGCAGCACAGCGTGACACCGTTGCGCCCTGCACATGTGATATGCCGGTCGGGTAATGGGACTTGGCACGGGGGTGGCGGCTGAGGACACGGCGGAAGAAGAGGTGGTAGAGGCGGACATTTTTGGGACCAAGGACGTGCAAACGTGGAGGCAAAAGCGGCGTGACCTGTCCAAGTTGCTGGTGCGGCTGTGCCGGCACCACCACGTTCACCCAGTGGGCCGTAAATGACATGTACTGTCCCTGACCGTAGTTACAGCTCCACACGTCGGCGCTGCCGTGCACTTTGGCAGAGACCGACATGCTCAAAGACTGGCCCACCATCTCTTCTACATGTGAATGCAGGGCTGGCACTGCCTTTTTGGCGAAGAAATGACGGCTTGGCACTCTCCACCGCGGCGCGGCACAAGCCATCATTTCTCGGAAAGGTGCTGAGTCCACCACTTGGAAAGGGAGGGACTGCAGCACCAGCAACTTGGACAGGAGGACGTTCAGCTTTTGCACCGTCGGGTGCGTGCTCGCAAACTGTTGTCTCTTGGAAACGGATTCCAAGAAAGACTGCTGACGGAATCCGTGAAGAGGAGTAGCAGAGAAGGAGCATCTGAACGAGCGGAAGATGCCAACGAGCGACAACTCCCCTCAGCAGAGGTGTGTGGAGCCTTGACTGGCTGATAGAGGGCGATTGACGTCGGGTGACGGAGCAAGTAACGGAGCGGGTGATGGAGCGGGGGCTGGGGGGGCAGGCAGAACCGCCGTATCTTTATCACGGTTTTCCCAGGCCACCAAATGGCGACGCTGCATATGCTGACGCAACGCTGTAGTCCCAACATGGGCCCCCTGGCCACGCTTGACTTTCTGGCCACATAGTCGACATACGGCTACGTTTACTTCCTCGGGCGGCTTGACGAAAAATTGCCACACCGCCGAGTAGGAAACTTTGCCCCCGATACTCCTCACTGGCTGACTGCTACTTCCTCCGTGCACACCGGCACCACTACTGGCCGTGGTGGTAGGCTGCAGTGGAGCTGGTGCTCTACTCCGTGGCCGTTTGCCTCCACTGACACTGCTGCGACCCCTGCTGCCTCCTGGGCAACCCACCGACTGTTTTGCTCGCTGCCAAGCTGGCCACCCTCTTCTCCTGATGATGCGGAAGCAATAGCCTGATGACGACGAGGCTGCCAAGTGCGATCAGCCTCATCATCATCAATTAGGGTCTCCGCCTCACTACTAGCCCCCTCGGCTGCGTGTGGGTCAGGAGACAGACCTGTCTCTAGACCGGCTACCGAGCCACTCTCCTCGCCACTACTTCTTCGCCTGGCTGCTGAAGAGGCGGATGTCTCCCCCCCGTTCCTGACCGCCCTCTGTTAGCTCTTCCTCACTGTACAGTGGGGCTGAGCCCACAGCATGCGATACTTCGCTTGGTGAGGGGAACACCAAAGGACAGGGGCAGGTAGAGGACACGTGATTTCAGTGGGCTTGCTCCCGGGCCATGCCAACTAACGGTTGTGTCTGACGTACCCACCGACCGTTGGCTGTAGGTGTCAGAGGTGACCTGGGAAGAGGAAGACACGAGCCAACCAATCGATGACGGCAGGGTTGTCGGTGGAGACACGACCGCTGGATGACACCGGGAGCACTGGCCTCTGGCTGCGAACTAGTGCTGCCTCGACCCCTTCCTCTGCTGCCACGTCTGCTCGCTCCTAAAACATTGCCTCTCTCTGCCACTCCTCTGCATGTTGTCTGACATACTCTGCCCTAATTCAACGATTCTGTGTCCCTGAGTAACAATTCTGTGTCCCTGAGTAACAATTCTGTGTGTCTGTGTCCCTGAGTAACAATTCTGTGTCCCTGAGTAACTGTCCCTCAGTAACAATTCTGTGTCCCTCAGTAACAATTCTGTGTCCCTGTCAGTAACAATTCTGTGTGTCCCTCAGTAACAATTCTGTGTCTGTCCCTGAGTAACAATTCTGTGTCCTCAGTAACAATTCTGTGTCCCTCAGTAACAATTCTGTGTCCCTGTGTAACAATTCTGTGTCTGTCGCTGAGTAACAATTCTGTGTCCCTCAGTAACAATTCTGTGTCCCTCAGTAACAATTCTGTGTCCCTGAGTAACAATTCTGTCTGTGTCCCTGAGTAACACCTCATTCTGTGTC